TATATATGGCATCATGTCATCTGCAAATAGTAAAAGTTTTACTTCTTCCTTACCAATTTGGGTTCCTTTTATTTCTTTTTTTTGTCTAATTGCCGTGGCTAGGACTTTTAGTACTATGTTGAGTAGAAGTGGTGAGTGGACATTTTGTCTTGTTCCTGACCTTGGGGGATAGCTCTTAATAGTTTTCCCCCATTGAGTATGATGTTTGCTTTCTGCTTTTCATATTTGGCCTTTATTATGTTGAGGTAGGTTCCCTCTAAACCTACTTTGTGGAGGGTTTTTACCATGAATGGATGCTGTATTTTGTCACATGCTTTTTCTGCATCTATTGAAGTGTTCATATGGTTTTTATCCTTTTTCTTGTTAATGTGATGTTTCATGTTGTTTTGTGAATTTCAACTCACTCTTGCATCCCAGGAATAAACCTCATTTGATTGTGATGAGTGATTTTTTTTTTTTAATGTATTGTTGGGTTCAGTTTGCTCATATTTTGTTGAGGATTTTTGCATCTCTGTTCATCAGACATGTTGACCTGTAGTTCTTTTTTTGTAGTGTTTTTATTTGATTTTGGTGTCAGGGTAATGATAGAATGAATTTGGAAGCTTTCTTTCCCATTTTAATTTTTGAAATAGTTTGAGAAGAATAGATACTAACTTTTCTTTAAATTTTGGTAGAATTCACCTGTGAAGCTGTCTGGTCCTAAAGTTTGGTTGGGTGCTTTTTGATTACTGATTCAATTTCTTTGCTGGTAATCAGTATGTTCAGATTTCCTTTTTTTTTTCCTCCCTGATTGACTTTTGGGAGGTTATGTTTCTATGAATTTACCCATTTCTTCTTGGTTGTCGCAGTTTTTTGGCATGTCATAATATTCTCTTATAATCCTTTGTATTTCTTTCAGTTTTTCTTTTTTTCATTCCTGATTTTGTGTGTTCTCTCTCTTTCCCTCTCTCTCAAATGAATACTGCTAAAGATTTATCAATTCTATTGATCTTTTCAAAGAATCAGCTTCTGGTTTCTTTGTTCTATTGTTTTTTTTAGTTTCTATTTCCTTTATTTCTACTCTATTATTTCTCTCCTTCTGCTGGTCCTGGGTTTTGTTTGTTCTCCTTTTCTAGCTCCTTAATTTGTAAGGTTAGGTTGTTTATTTGAGATTTTTCTTCTTGAGATAGGTCTGTGTTGTTATAAAGTTGTTACTCCTTAGAACAGCTTTTGCTGCATCCCAAAGATTTTGGACTGTTGTGTTGTCATTTTCATTTGTTCATGTATGTTTTTATTTCCTTTTTGATTTCTTGGTTGACCCTTTCATTTCTTAGTATCATTTTATTTAACTTCTGTGTATTTGTGTTCTTTCCAGATGGTTTCTTGTGTTTGATTTCTAGTTTCATACATAGCCTTGTGGTCAGAAAAGATGCATTCAGCCTTTTTTAATTTGTTAAGACTAGTTTTGTGACCTAAAATGTTATCTCTTCTGGAGAACATTTTGTGCTTACAAAGTATTAAGATGTTTTAAGGTGGAATGTTCTAAATTTATCCATAGATCCATTTGGTCCAGTGTGTCATTCAAAGTAACGGTTGATTTGTCCATTGCTATAAGTGGGGTGTTAAAGTCTCTTATTGTTACTGTGTTATTCTTCATTAGATTTTGCATATTATCAGTTGATTGCTGTATTTGGTTCTTCCCATGGTGGGTGCGTATATATTTGTTAAATCTGTTGGATTATCTCCTTTATGTAGTGTCCATTGTCTGTTGTTACACTTCTTGTTTTATAGTTACTCCTACATATCTTCTTAAAGAATTGCCTTTTAACGTTTCTTTTAGGGCTAGTTTAGTGGTCTTGAAGTCCTTTATATTTTGTTTGAGAAAACTGTGTGTGTGTGTGTGTGTGTGTGTGTGTGTGTGTGTTTCTTTTAAAAAATTTTTTTTTAATTTTTATTTATTTATGATAGTCACACAGAGAGAGAGAGAGAGAGAGAAAGAGAGAGAGAGAGAGGCAGAGACATAGGCAGAGGGAGAAGCAGGCTCCACGCACCGGGAGCCCGATGTGGGATTCGATCCCGGGTCTCCAGGATCGCGCCCTGGGCCAAAGGCAGGCGCCAAACTGCTCCGCCACCCAGGGATCCCTCTTTCTCTCTTTTTAAAGATTTTATTTATTCATGAGAGACAGAGAGGCAGAGACATAAAGGGAGAAGCAGGCACCCTGTGGGGAGCCCAGTGTGGGACTCAGTCCCAGGACCCTGAGATCATGCCCTGAGCCAAAGGCAGATACTCAACCACTGAGCCACCCAGGTGCCCCTTTGTCTCTCTTTCTATTCTGAATGATAGCCTTGCTGGATAGAGTATTCTCTACATTTTTTTTCCTTTCAGCACATTGGATATATCATGCCAGTCCCTTTGGCCTGCAAAATTCTGCTGAAAAATCAAATAGCTTTTTAGGGTTTTCCTTGTATGTAACTGTTTTTGCTTGCTGCTTTTTATTTTTATTTTATATTTATTTAAGGCATGGAGCCCAACATGAGGCTTAAACTCATGGCCCTGAAATTGAGAACTGAGCTGAGATAGGAGATCAAGAGTTGGATGCTTAACAGACTGAGCCACCCGGGCACCCCAACACTCTTGCTGCTTTTAGAATTCTCTATCACTTTTTTTTTTTTTTTTTTTTTTTTTGCCATTTTGATTGCTATGTGTCTTGGCACATACCTCCTTGGTTTGATTTTGTTGGGGCCTCTCTGTGCCTTCTGGATCTGGATTTCTGTTTCCTTCCCCAGATTTGGAGTGTTTTCAGCTATTATGTCTTCAAATAGATTGTCTGCCCCCTCTTCTCTCTTTTTCCCCTTTTGGGATTCCTGTAATGTGAATATTAATACATTTGATGGTGTTGCTGTGTTCTCTAAATCTATTTTCACTTTTTTTTTTAAAGATTTTATTTATTTATTTGAGGGTGTGAAAGAAGCAGGCTCCCTTCTAAGTAGGGAGTCTGAATTGGGGCTGGATCCTGGGACTCTGGGATCATGACCTGAACTGAAGGCAGACACTTAACCAACTAACTGAGCCACTCAGCTGCTCCTATTTTCACTTTTCTATTACTAATTTTTCTCTTATGTTCAGCTTGATTGTTTTCTATTACCCTGCCTTCCAGGTTGCTAATCCATTCCTCTGCTTTATCTTGTCTATGTATTCCATCTATTCATTCAATATATTTTTGATTTTAGTCATTAAATTGTTTATCTTTGGCTCTTCTTTTATGTTTTCTATCTCCTTGTTAAGGGTTTCCTGATGTCTGTTACTCTTTAGTCTACTGCATATCTTTATGACCATTACTTTAAATTCTTTATAGGAATTCTGTTGCTTTGAGTTTGTTCTTTCATTTGGGACATATTCCTCTGTCGTCTTTTGTCTGACTCTGTTTCTATGTGGTATGACAGTCAGCTACGTCTCCTGCTCTTAAAGTGGTGGCCTTAGGAAGAAGAGGTCTTGTAGTGCCCTTCTGTGCAACTTCTCCTGTTTTCCAGAACCTGGTGCTTAAGAGGTATCTTGTGTGTGTTGCGTGTGCCCTGCTGTTGTGGCTGAACTGCTTTTGCCTTCGGTGCAGTCATCTGCAGAGTTTCTCTTTTTCTGTTGTGGACAGGATATGGTCCTTGTGTTGTAATGGGGCAGTCTGGGGCTGCTTGGGCTTAAGTTGAGTCAGACCAGATGTTTACCAGAGCTATTGTAGGCACTTTCTGTGTGTTGTCCCGAGAAGGTTTCACTGGTGGGTGAGGTCTGCAATCAGATCAGCTATCTGGGGCAGCCCTGGTGGCCCAGAGGTTTAGCGCTGCCTTCAGCCCAGGGTGTGATCCTGGAGACCCAGGATTGAGTCCTGCATCGGGCTCCCTGCATAGAGCCCGCTTCTCCCTCTGCCTGTGTCTCTGCCTCTCTCTCTCTCCTTCTGTGTCTCTCATGAATAAATAAATAAAATCTTTAACAACAACAACAAAAAATTACTTAAAAAAAATCAGCTATCTGTCCTCAGTCTACTGCTGGAACCACAGTCTTGATATGTGTGTGGTGATCTTTCTCCCTCTTTGGAGCAAAAGTCACTTTGGAGTGGTGCTGGACCTTGTCAGGACTGCTTGCATAGTGCTAGGCTTGTGGCACTATTTTGGATCAGTTCTGACCAGGAGCATATTGGAAGGGGTGTGTCTGTAGCAGAATGTGTGGCAGTGTGCACTGTTAGCAGGTTACCTACTGAGTGTCTTTGCCCTACTGGTCCCCAGAGGTGTTTGTGTATTTAGGCTGGGGGTTAGGGAAGGGAAATGGTACCTGCCAGCTCCTTTGTTCCTGAAGTCTCCCAGAGATCCCTGCTCCTCTAGCACATGCCCCAAAATTAGATAACAAATCTCCCTCCCACATACCTTCAGTGGTTTTCAAACTGCTACTTCTATGTTGTATCTCTGGGGTTGTTTGTTGTGTTGTCTCTTTAAAGATAAGGACTCCATTTCCTCTTGCCCTTTCAGCTCTGCCAGAGCCAAGCCCACTGATTTTTTTTTTTTTTTTTTAAGTTCCAGGTGTTATGCCCGAGTAATTGTAAGAATTTGTGAAATTTGGCCCCTCTGGTTTTCAAAGCCAAATGTCATGGGGGTTTGTCTTCCTTGTGTCTAGGGTGCCTGGTCTGAGGGTCTGTTTCCCCTCTCTTGACCCTTGGAGTCCCTCCCTTTTGCAGACTATCCTATGGTTTCATTTAGCTTCTGACCGTGTCTCTGCCCTTCCTAATCTCCTTGATGTGGCCTTTTTTCCACGTTTAGCTGTGGAGTGTTTGTTCTGCCAGTCTTTGATCCTTTTCTGGGTTATTCACACTTACATGTGAGTGTTATCTAGGTGTATCCCTATAGTGAGGTGAGCTTAGGGACCTCCTGTTCTGTTTTCTTCCTCAGAAGGCTTTTATCAACATTTTGGTTAAATAACGTTTATTGAGTCAGTACTTTAAAATGTTTCCTTTTTTTTTTTTTTTCCATTTTACTAGTAGATGATGATATTGATGATGAAGAGTTTTATGATGAACATTTAGAGGCTTATTTTGAGCAACTAGCTATTCCAGGAATGATATATGAAGACCTAGGACAGGAACCTCCAGAAAATGATTTTAAATTACCTACAAGTGATTCATGTCAGGTATGTTCCAATTTTATGGTTTTTCAGAAATTTGACTTTAGAAAACTATTACTGGTCTCATTAGATATTACCATAAAACATAAACTTTTGGTTTTCTTTGATCTGTTTTTCAAGATAGAAAGTGATAAGAAATACCTTACCCATCCTTTCTTGCTGCTTCTTACTTTTCCTTCCTCTGCAGAAATATTGAAGAATATCACAGTGAATGTGTGTATGCCCCTCATCCAGATTAACCAGTTGTTAACAATTGACCATCTTTGTTTTCTTTGTCCTTCCATGAATACTTTTTTTGTGTATCATTTAAGAGGAATTTGCAAGTATTTTGACATTGCACTCTGATACTTTGACATTTTCTCCTGCAAATAAAGCTATTTTCCTGTATAATCTCAATTGTATTACTAAATTTGATATAGTAACGTAAATGAATATACAGTCTATATTCACGTTTATCCGATTGTCTCCAAAATGTCCTTTACTTTTATTGTTTTTGATCTAGGATTTAATCAAGGATTACAGTTGCATCTGGTTGTCCTGTCTCTTTAGTATTTCAATTTAGAGTAGTTCTTCATGTCATTAAAGTTTTTGTAAAATGGCCAGTAAGCTAGGTGTATCTCATTGCTTTTTTCCCCTTCTAATTAAAGATTTTGGCAAGAATTCAGATAAAGCATTTTTATTACAAACAGATAAAAGTAAAGGACATTTTGGAGACAATCGGATAAATGTGAATACAGACTGTATATTCATTTACGTTACTATATCAAATTTAGTAATACAATTGAGATTATACAGGAAAATAGCTTTATTTTCAGGAGAAAATGTCAAAGTATCAGAGTGAAATGTCAAAATACTTGCAATACTTATCCTTATTAAAGATAAGGATATTGTGTGCTTTTGTCTAGACAGATCTAGACATCTGTTCGTCCCGCTATTGATGAAGTTGTATTTGATAATCTTGGTTAATGTGGTATTGGGTAGATATCTCTTTGTGTAGGTGCCTTTCTTTTTTCCTTTGTTATCAATGAGTAATCTGGGGAATGGTGCATTAAGGCCATGTGATCTTTCTGTTCCCGAAGAACCTTTCACAAACTGGATTTAGTATCATTGCTGAAGCCTTCTAGAAACAGTTATTTCTATGGTGGTTATAATGGTGATATTTCCAATTCTTTCTACATTAATTGCCTGGCATCGTTTTGTCAAGAAGTCATTCTCTGTTTCTTATGTTTCTCCCCTAAAAATGATTATAATTTAAAAAATCAATACATCTATTTTTTCAACAGGCAAATGAAAATGGTAGTTTAAACTATAAGTCTCAAGCAGAAAATAACAGCTCTCCGATTTCTGATGGCTCACACTCTTTGGGAAGTTCTGAAACAACCCACAAAGAGTCTGAAGTAGGCCATGTTGCTTGTCTGCCTGGGATCAGTAAGTATTGAAATATGACTTGATTCTGTTCTTAAATTCTGTTTGATTTTGCCTTTTCTTTTTAATTAATTAATTTAATTAAAGAATTAACTTCTTTGGTATAATGTAACCTGTATTAACCATTGTATTCCTTCAGATTTTTAAACAGTTTAAAACTTTTCAAAAGAATACATTAGTAGTATTAGACATACTGTACTGTATATTGCATGCGTTGCTTATTACGAATGAGTGTGTTTTATTCAGACATTTGAGAATTAAAAATTCTCTGTGTGGTCGAAGTTTGTTGCACTTACTGATGGTTACTTTTTCTTATATGCAAATTGGTGTATTTGTCATATGATTGCTAAGTACTAGGTTTGCATAAACTTGAGTGGCAAGAAGCAGTTATATTACTGAGACTTTGACATTGCTCTGTTTTTCTTTTTTTTTTTCAGGTAATTTTATAGATACTGGAGATAGTAGAAGGCACGTAGGTGGTGTATTATCACTTTCTTCTAGTACTCGGGGAATTGAACAAGAGAACGAAAGGGAAGACAGTTTGAAGGGCATTGTCCCACATCATGGCAGAGTAAGTTTATATGCATTTTCTTCAAATTTTCTATGAAAAGGATAAAGTCTTTTGTGTCAGTTTTTTTTTTTTTTTTCCAAAGCAACAACTGTTGATTCTGGAAAATGTATAAAAAGTATTAAAGCTTCCCTACTGATAATAGTTTCTATGTGTGTGTATGTATCTTTGAGATCACTAAGATTATATTAAATATACAATTATGTACTTTTTTTAAAAGATTTTATTTATTCATTCATGAGAGACAGAGAGAGAGAGAAAGAGGCAGAGACACAGGTAGAGGGAGAAGCGGACTCCATGCAGGGAGCCTGACATGGGACTGGATCCTAGGTCTCCAGGATCCCACCCTGGGTTGAAGGCGGCGCCAAACCGCTGAGCCACTGGGGCTGCCCTATATACATTTTCTTAAATTTAAGTGTTTCTTGACCTGCATTTAGATCATTCATTTGAAAAGTTCTTCAGCTTGGTATCAGAACATTAAATAAAAAGGCAAACTGTTCATCTTTAACTTTGCTCAAGCATGTTTTCCATTCTTGGTTTTCTGTCTGTTATTCCTACACTTCAAACTTGGTAGTTATTTCTGACTCTCACCAATTCTTCATCACTTTTTCAAAAGTAAATATATGTCTTAGGATTCCATGATGACTTTTAATTTAGAGAGTCTGTCTGTGTTGGTATATGTAGAAATAGTTACTCCTCTTCATAGTAATCCTTTGAGTGATTAAGGCAGTAAATGATGGGATTGTCAATTTAAAGACAGTGAAGCTCAAAAAACCGAAATTTCTTCTTTTTTCTTTTTTTTGTTTAATATTTTTAATTTATTTATTCATGAGAGACAGAGAGGCAGAGACACAGGCAGAGGGAGAAGCAGGCTCCATGCAGGAAGCCTGACTTGGGACTCGATCCCAGGTCTCCAGGATCACACCCTGGGCTGAAGGCGGTGCTAAACCGCTGAGCCACCCGGGCTGCCCAAAAAAACGAAATTTCTTTCAGTGTGTTCTCAGGAATGTGTCTTCAGTTTATTGTTTCCTGTTTGTTTCCTTTACTATTGTTCAAGTTCAAGATGCTTTACTATCTCATGTGTGATTTATGGTGCCATCTCAAGTATTTTTACTATTCTGTTATATTTGTCAACACCAGGTTAATCTTGTTACGATAGCCTTTAATGTATATAATATATATAAATATTCTCTATGCCTTATTGTTTCAAGTTAATAATCCTTAAGATGCTTTATAACTTGGCCTCATATTAATCTGTTTTTCTCTTATATTTCTACAAATTTCTATTTCTACAAATTTCTACAAATCCCTATTCCTATTTTGTTTTCTTTCTTCCTTGATCCAGATTATGATCATCTTTCCAATCTTTCATGAAGTCCCTGATTACTTTTTAGTAACTCTAGACTACATTTATTTTTCTGAATTCTTATTACACAGATTGTATTCTACAGTATAGTACTTTATTATATATAGGAATATTTTACTTATCCAGAAAGTTGCCTAGTCAGCAGCTTCAAAAATTTCTTTACTCATCCAAAGAAACAGTTATGTACAAGTACAGGGCAAAGCCTCTTGCCTCAGGTAACTGGAACAAGTGTTCAGAGTCCATGGATTCTAGAACAGTGCTATGGACACCTCGTCTTATGTATAGTCCTCTCTGACAGTGAGGAGTTATAATTCTAATATATTTAGTTAATAGTCCAGCCCTCAGCTGATTAGAGGAAACCATTGAGAAAAAAGGAGACAGTGTTTGTTAATCTTGACTTTGTCAAAATGTGATATTTGATAAATTTTATGTCTGTCCATGGATATTTAATCTTAGGCTAATGACCTTGTTCTGTTAGAATTATTTTTCTAATTAGCAATTACTTGTTAAAAACCAATAGTTTTAATATTGTTGAATATTCACAACTTACAAATTGCTTGGTATCTTGGTCAGGCCATTTTAACAAAAAATCCTTGGTACCTTCTTGGTGATAGGTATATGGTACTTGGTATTGTAGGTCACACAAAGATAATCTTCCTTCATGAAACATAACAGAAATAGCCAGATTCTGGAGGAACATTCAGGCCCCAGGAACACAAAGCCCTGAAGCCTTTAGCTGTGCTTGAAGGAAGGCATTGAGTATGGAGGGATGGTGAGAACTGGCCTCTGTCTGCTGAGCTTCCAGACAGTGTGGAATAAACACTTCCATTAAAGCTTTCTTGCTTGGATGAGGGGGAATTCCTACCTGTGGGTCAGCCGTAATGTGTGTTACATTATTTCATGAACAGTCTTATTTTTCCCATATGATAAGGTCATGTAGTTTGTGTTACCATGAGGTGACAACATTCTGTCCTTTTGGCAAGATTAGCAGCCCATTTTCCTTAATTACATCTAAGGAATTCAAAAATTATAAGTTACTAATTTTCAGTTCCCAAAATTTAACTACTGTAATAGTAATATAGTATAATAGTAATAGTCTACTATTGACTGGAAGCTTTACTGATAACATAAGTAGTGATAAACAAATCTTTTGTATGTTATATATGTTATATATTTACAGTAAAGAAAGCAAAGAATGTTATTAAGGGAATCATAAGAGAAATACATTTACAATTCTGTACAGTATAAAAACAAAGATCCACATATAAATGGAAAAAAAACGAAAAAACAAACTTCCTAGCTTTTATCTGGGGAAAAAATTATCTTAATTTTTCCCTCATTCCCCCCCCCCCCGCTAGAGAGAGTATACACATGTCCTTGCGCCAGTAAAGGAGGAGGGGTGTAGAGAGAGAGAATCTCAAGTAGGCTTCATGCCCAACATGGAGCCCAACACAGGGCTTGATCTCACAACCCTGAGATCATAACCTGAGCCAAAATCAAGAGTCAAATGTTCTACTGACTGAGCCACCTGAGAACTCCCTTTCCCTCATTTTTAAAGGACAGTTTAACCAAATGTAAGATTCTTGGTAAGTATTTTTCCCTCTCAGCACTTTGAACGTATCAGCCCATTCATTGCCTTCTGGCCTGAAAGGTTTCTGTTGTGAAATTTGCTGGTTATCTTTCTGAAGATTCCTTGCATGTGACAAGGAGCTTCTCTTGCTCTTTTCAAGATTTTCTTGTCTGTCTTTTGACAGTTTGATCATACTGTCTCGGTATGGGTTTCTTCAGATTCATCCCACTTGGAGTTTGCTGAACTTTGATGTTCAAATTCCTGTCTTTCGTCAAATTTGGATAGGTTTTCAGCCATAATTTCTTTGCCTTTTATCTCTCTTCTGTGTTTTCCAGAAAGTGCTGTTGGTCCCCAGTGTGTTGATGATATTCCATATGTCCCTTAGACTCTGTTCCTTTTTTCTGAAGCTTTGTAATTTCAGTTGTCCTATCTTCAGGTTTGCTGTATCTTCATCCTGCTAGTGCACGTCTGTTTTTTAACCCCTCCAGTGCATTTTTCACTTCAGTTATTGTACCTTTCAGTTCCAGTATTTCTTTATGGCTCTTTTAAAAATAAACTCTTTATTGTTACACATTCTATGCATTGATCATTTTCTTGCTTGTCCATATCTTCTTTTAGCTCTTTTAAAATAACGGTCTTAAAAATGCTCAAAGTCTTTTATCTCATAAGTCTGATGTACAGGTTTCCTCATGTATGTTCTCTGTTGATTTATTTTTTTCTTTTGAATGGAGCATGCTTTCTTATTTCTTTGTTTGCCTTGTGTTTTTTTCTTTGTCGCATACTGGACATTCCAATCTTATGTGATAACTCTGGAAATCACAATCTCCCTTTTCTCTAGGGTTTGCTCTTTAATTTTTGTATCATATGTCTATGCAGGGATGAGGATATGGTGAAAATTAAGATTTTACAGGTCTTTTCTTAGCCTGTATTTTTTTCCTGGACATGTGCAGTAAGTCTCTTAACTTTCTCTATCCATGGTTGTTTTAGAATACTTAAAGAAATAGCTATGATCCCTTTAAATATGGTGGAGGTCACTTTAGCTGGTGGGGGTTGAATCACTGGTGACCAGGCTCCGTGCCTTCAGCTCTGCAGTCAGAAGCTGCAGTCTATAGTCAGAACACAGAAACCTGATAATTGGAGACAAAATCCTTACTGCTTCTCTGGCTCCAGCAAACCATACTAAAAACAGGGGTTGCCCTCCCAATGTCGTCTGCCTTGGAGTTCAGGGTGGGTAGCCATGATCATTCTGAAGCCTGAGTGACGGACATTATTTGCAATTTGCCAGTCAGGCTTTTCTCTGGTAGCTCTAATTGTTCAAATAGATTCCAGAGTTCCAAAATAGTTACTTCAGAAGTTTTTGCCAGTACAGTACAGTGCTTGTCTGGTGGAAAGGCAGATTCTTGGTGCTTTCTCCTCTGCCATCTTTTCTGATGTTACTTCTTGTTATTTCTAACTTTATAGGCTTATTATAATCCGTATCTGGTCTGAAAAATCTAACCCTTCTAAATGTTTTGAGTAAAAGTGTATATTTATATGTGTGTTTCATGGACATAAGAAAAATGAAAACTAAATGTGCTTTTTTGAAGAATCTTTAGTTTTAAGTTATTAGGATACATTATTCAAAATCTCTATGATCTCTATGATCACTTTTATTTATTTTTAAGATATTTATTCATTCAACAGAAAGAACACAAGCAGGGGGAGAGGCAGAGGGAGAGGGAGAAGCAGGCTCTCAACTGAGCAGGGAGCCAACACAGGGCTCAACCCTGGGATCTTTACCTGATCCAAAACCTAGAATTCGCTAATCAACTGAGCCACCCATGCATCCCATATGATCACTTTAACTTTTATGTACTAGATGTATCAATTGCAGAAAATATGAAACAAAGTTTCCAATATTTTTTAAAAGATTTTTTTTAACTTAATTATTCATGAGAGACATAGAGACACAGGCAGAGGGAGAAGCAGGCTCCCTTGCAGGGAACCTGATACGGGACTCAATCCAGGACCCCGGGTCACGACCTGAGCCAAAGGCAGATGCTCAACCTTTGAGCCACCCAAGAGTCC